CAGACACCACTGAGCAACTAACACACCCACACAATATTCTCAGTCACTCTCTGCGACCCCATGAACCACAGCACGCCAGGCTTCCCTGTCCATCACCAGCTCCCGGAGTTTACTCAAACCCATGTCCTTTGAGTCGGTGATGCCATCCAACCATCTCATCCTCTGTCATCCCCTTCTCCTGCTTTCAATCTTTCCCACCATCAGGGTCTTTTCCAATGAGTCAACTCTTTGTATGAGGTGGCCAAAGTACTGGAGTTTCAGCTTCAGCATCAGTCGTTCCAATGAACACCCAGGACTGATCTCCTTCAGGATGGACTGGTTGTATCTCCTTGCAGTCCAAGGGACTCTCAAGAGTCTTCTCCAACACCACAGTTCAAAAGCATCAATTCTTTGGCGCTCAGCTTTCTTCACAGTCCAACTCTCACATCCATACATGACCACTGGAAAAACCATAGCCTTGACCAGATGGACCTTTTTTGGCAAAGTAATGTCTCTGCTTTTTAATATACCATCTAGGTTGGCCATAACTTTCCTTCCAAGGAGTAAGTGTCTTTTAATTTCATGGCTGTAATTGCCACTGCAGTGATTTTGGAGCCCCCCAAAATAAAGTCTGACACTGTTTCCACTGTTTCCCCATCTATTTCCCATGAAGTGATGGGACCAGATGCCATGATCTTAGTTTTCTGAATGTTAAGCTTTAAGCCAACTTTTTCACTCTCCTCTTTCACTTTCATTAAGAGGCTCTTTAGTTCTTTGATTTCTGCCATAAGTGTGGTGTCATCTGCATATCTGAGGTTATTGATATTTCTCCTGGCAATCTTGATTCCCACTTGTGCTTCTTCCAGCCCAGCATTTCTCATGATGTACTCTGCATATAAGTTAAATAAGCAGGGTGACAATATACAGCCTTGATGTACTCCTTTTCCTATTTGGAACCAGTCTGTTGTTCCATGTGCAGTTCTAACTGTTGCTTCCTGACCTGCATACACAATATTCTACCGTACCACTGTTTGTTTACCCACTCACCTGGATTCTCTTTTCTGCTCCATTGATCTATGCATTTGTCTATCAATGCCTCACCATTTCTATTACAGTACTAGAATTTAAGGTGTGATGAGAAGCTTAAATAAACCTGATGTCCGTTCCACCTAGCAGAATCTTCAGGTCCTTCTTTCTTCCCTGAACAGGGAAAAGCTTTCTTTCTCCTCCCAGAGGGCGGCATGGTCTACCTTCCACTTAAATGGTCGTAGAACAGCCGCTGTGCAGGTTGCAGTAGAGAATATTCTGTTGCTGCTGTGAAGAATATCAATGCCAGGAAACTGCAGAAAATTGCCCTGCCATTTGCTCTTTGCCACCTAAACCAACTGGCTTCCCAGTTCACGCTAGTGATGAAGAACACATCTGCCAATGCAGGAGACACAAGTTCAGTTCCCTGGGTCAGGAAGAAGATCCGCTGGAGGAGGAAATGGCAACCCACTCCAGTATTCTTACCTGGAAGATTCCATGGACAGAGGAACCTGGTGAGCTCCATACAGTCGATGGGGCCGCAAAGAGTCGAACACAACTGAGTGAGTGAGCACAGCCTGAACCAGCACCTGAACCAAACTGAAAGCAAACCCAGAGGCCTTGTACCGCCCCTCCGGGGATGAGCACTGGTCACCCAGCTGGACCCTTGCTAGCAGTTTCTAGAAAGATGGGCAGATGGTAAGGAGACTGAAATTAGCCATTAAAATACAATTTGAGGATGTTACTCTATTGCCCAACATCACTCCAATCCTCTGCTTTGAAAATTGTGAGCCAGTTATGCACTAAAAAGGAAATGGAAAAAGAGGTCGTGCCTTATGTCCGCACGTCCTGGGGGCACAGCGCTGATGATCTGTGTCAGCCTGGTGACCACACACCGGAAAGCTTTGCGCACAAAGGGAGGCAAATGCCTGTGAAACCTCTCAGTACCATCTTCACCAACTGTCTGTAAATAAAAACCTGTTCTAAAATTAAAACATTATGCTAAAAAAGTCAACATAGCCATGTGAAAGAGAAGCTAGAGAAAGAGAAGATTTACTCAAATTGCTGAAAAATAACACAGCAATTCTAAAAAGTAACCGCCCTCTTCATTTTCATCTTCCCAACTGAAAACTGATCATTAACCTTCCATCCTCCAGAGGCACCTCTCAGATGGGGTGTTTACTTCTCCAAGCTGTAAGATGGTCCTGAGATGCCCCAGGAAGCAGAGGTGAGTGTGTTTTTGTCGTCCCACCCCCCACCCTTATGGGTGAAAACAACCTTCCATCTGTTTTTCCTTCTCCCCAACACTGATTATGTCTTTTTCCTGGTTTAACCATAGATAAGTAGAACAGATTTTACAAGTCTCCTCAAGGAGAGTCTGGAGATATTCAGAGCTTATGGAAGATATGAAAGCATTAAGTGCAGAGATGAGAACTTCAGGTTGTCACCAAGTCTCACCACAGTTCTTGTGCAATAACGATAGAGGACATCTATGATCTGAGAAGCAGGGTTAACAAGGATGATACTAAAGAGTATCCCAGCAGTGGGATAATCCCACAAATGGATAAAGATAAAAGAACAGGCTCTGTCTCCCACTAACACCGACTCATCTCCTAGTTGCATCTTTGCCAGGAGGAAGCCCATCCCGTAAACACAAATGTCAAAATGAAAACAGTCCCTGGAGTCTGACCCTGACAATACCCACCTGGAGTGGAATTCCGTGAAAGACAGGTCTATCTTGGACCTCGACACGGAGAGTTATTACTAAAAAACAAAAATCACAAGGAGGCATTCAGGTTCACACTAACCACTGCCCAGTATACACAAGGGCAGCTTCAATCTGAGACTGTGAGGTCCTTACCCTCAGAGCAAGGAAGCTGTTAGAGACTCATCTTTCCCCAGAGATGGTCTCATAGAGAGTGTGTGAACCACCCTCGGTGACCCCCAAGGACACACGATTCCTGGGGGTCACAGCTTTGGATGATTCCCCTCCCCCTGAGTGTGGGCAGGACTTGGGACTTGCTTGCAGCCAAGAGAATGTGGCAGAGATGATGGGATGTCACTCCTTGACCAGTGTACGGCTTATGGATGAGATGTGTCTTGTAACAAACGTGCTAGGTGCTGCTCCACTGGCCTTGAAGAAGCCATCCAGAAGTCAACAGCCATGGTAGAGCAGCCCACAGGGTGGGTGGGGTACTATGGGTGCCTCCGCTTGCAGAGAGCAGCCTCCAGCACGAAGCTGAAGGCTTAGCCTTGCAAGAGGAAGTAAATTAATTTTGTCAACAACCCAAGGGAGCGAAGGAAACAGGCTTACTCAGCCCTGGCCAACACCTTGACAGCCTGGTGAGGTGCTATAGCCAGGGATCCAACTAAGTCCTGCCCAGATTCCTCATGCACAGAAACTCTGCGATGCCGAATAAATGTTATTTTAAGCTGCTAAGTTTGTGGGAATTTGTTATGCGGCAATGGCTAACTGATAGAGGGAATGAGATATATTTTGTGTGTTAGCCACTTGGACTTTATAAACATTTTATCCCTAGGATGTCCCTTCATGCTACGAGAAGCATCCTTTCCCACTTTTCCTGCCACAGAAGGGACCCCCAAATCAGATGGCTCCTGGTGGAGCCCCATCAGAAAGACACAGAAGCAGAGCAGGGGTTGTTCTCCAAAGGAAGCCATAGTCTCATGACCAGAAGAGAAAGGAGACACAAAATGAACATCCCCAAAAGAATCATTGCCCCTCTCAGAGAGTCCAATCCACGTAATCTGACAGAAGGAGAAATAGGCCCTGAGAGGTCAGTGGCGTCCAGAGTCTGTGCCCCACGGTAGGGTCAGAAGCAAAAACACGTTTCCTCAGTCCCATCCAGGACTCTTATCACTAGAGCTCATTGCATGACTCATGTTTTTGGATGATCTTATTTTTCTGCTTTTTTAACCTATTTAGGCATATTTATTCAGTGAGAAAGCCCTAAAAATCAAAGTCAAATAATTCATGGAGATAAACAAAAGATTAAAAAAAATCCAGTGGAATCAGACTTGTTATTTGGAAGAGAAATGCCTATTTGGCTGCCCTTTCAAAACATTTCCAACTGGTTTCTGCATACTTGGGACTTTGGATTACTCCCACAATCAAGAACAGCAGAATGGCAAATATGAACCTGGTAAAGACAGAAAAACAGAGAACTAGGTTTTGGGCTTCAATTTCTCTTTCTTTCCTTACATGTTTAAGCTCTTGCTCTGTTTGTTTGGTCACTAAGTCGTATCTGACTCTTTGTGACCCCATGGACTGCAGCATGCCAGGCTTCCCTGTCCTTCACCATCTCCCTGAGCTTGCTCAAACTCATGTCCATTGGGTGGTTGATGCCATCCAACCATCTCATCCTCTGTCGTCCCCTTCTCCTCCTGCCCTCAATCTTTCCCAGCATCAGGGTCTTTTCCAATGAGTCAACTCTTCGCATGAGGTGGCCAAAGTACTGGAGCTTCAGCTTCAGCATCAGTCCTTCCAATGAAAATTCAGGACTGATCTTTAGGATGGACTGGTTGGATCTCCTTGCAGTCCAAGGGACTCTCAAGAGTCTTCTCCAACACCACAGTTTGAAAGCATCAGTTCTTTGGTGCTCAGACTTCTTTATGGTCCAACTCTCACATTCATACATGACTACTAGAAAAACCACAGCTTTGACTAGACAGACTTCTGTTGGCAAAGTGATGTCTCTGCTTTTTAATACGCTGTCTAGGTTTGTCATAGCTTTTCTTCCAACGAGCAAGTGTCTTTTAATTTCATGGCTGCAGTCACCATCTGCAGTGATTTTGGAGCCCAAGAAAGTAAAATCTGCCACTGTTTCCATTTTTTCACATCTATTTGCCATGAAGTGATGGGACCTGATGCCATGATCTTGCTTTTCTGAATGTTGAGTTTTAAACCAACTTTTTCACTCTCCTCTTTCACCTTCATCAAGAGGCTCTTTAGCTCCTCTTCGCTTTCAAGGGTGGCATCATCCTCTAGTCTTGTGGAAGTTCTGTAAATTCTTCTGGGTCTTTTCATATAAAGAGATGGACACGGAGGCTGTCTCACTGGAGCTCATAGAGTCAAACACCGTCCTTTCACAGAAACGAATGAGCGTCTGCAGGGCCAGCTCATTGGTGGGATTCTGCAGGGCTCGGCGGCTGAAACTTACAGGGCTGGGGCCCCCTACAGGCTTCCTTCCTTCACCACGCGGTCTCGAGCTGTGGTCAAGCTGTGATCCGGGAGCACCAAGAGCTCCCGAAAGCAGCAGTAGCTGTGAAAAGGGCTTCCCGAGGCGGGGACCCAGCTGCTCACGGCCCCACAGTGGCCCTGGTGGCCCCCGAGGAGCTGCATCTCGGAGCGAGGCCCTCCTAGGCCTGCTGCTGACCTTCAGAAGAATAGCCACGGCCCTCGCCTCCTACTTTAACTTCAGCAGGCACGCTCTTAGGGACGGCCGCCCTCCCCGAGGGCGAGGGGCAGGGGAGGAGGAAGGTTCAGACGAAGGACAGGAGGTAAGTTCGAAGTCACTCTGTTGTGTGACTCCCAGCAAGACCCCCTCTGAGCCTTGACTTTTCTCGCCTGTTAATAGCGCAGAGGGGCTGGCCGCCGCCCCGCAAGCTCTCTGTGGGGGAGCGAGCGACCTGACATGGGCCAGAGCCGTGTCCAAGGTGTCTAATCACCGTGCCCGGCTGGTCTGAGCTGATTCCACATCTGTAACCACGTCTCACCCACAGCCAGGGCCCCGAGGGCTGAGAAGTCCCCGCGATCGATGCCCTGCCGCTGACCTTGCCCCACACTCTGAGCGCTGCACATAGAGCAGCACTTAACACTCACAGCCGGGCCTGCGATGAGCACCCTTACACTCATCCCAGTTGTGCAGGTAAAGAAACTGGGTCACAGGGAGGGTGAGGTTTGGAGGAGCCAGCTGGGGAACTGGCACAGCCCAGAACACAGACTCAGGCAAAGGGACCCAACATCAGGTTCCTCGTTAACACATTCTGCCACCTGTTGGATAAACGCAGTGAGCTCAAAGAAGGGGCCACGTGGCCCAGGGGCCCATCCTCCTCACTATTCTCCACCACCCGCTCCTTCAACCCTCTTTGGGTCTAGAATTCTTCTGTCTCACTCCAAGATCCCTCTCTGGGCCCATCCACATCACAGCCTCCATTGGGTCACCTGCCTCTTTGGTGTCCACTGAGCCCTTTGGCTTTCTCTGCAGGCTGGAGACCATTCCACACAGACCAGGACCTAAAAATAAGGAGGTAGGAAGACTACGGTTGTTGACCATTTGGCAAAGGCATCTTGGGGGCCCGTCGAAACCAATCTAGAACGATCAGTGATCAGACATAAGTGCCTGATGATACACGTGTAGCAAAGTTGCCAGCCAGTCACCAGTAGACCTGGAGGCCTGTGGTGACTTTCCTTTCAGGTAAGCTATAGGAGGAAAGAGACAGGGTGTCAGAGGAGATACACTTGGGTTCTGATGCCCAATGAGACAGAGTTTGTAGATGTTCCAGTGAGACCTGGGGGAGGGGGAGCTGAGGAGCTGAGCGCCCCCTTTCCAGCATCAGTGCAACCAGGCTCTTTGGCATCAGACCACGCAGTTCAGTTCAATTACTCGGTCGTGTCCGACTCTGTGACCCCATGGACTGTAGCACATAGGCCTCCTTGTCCATCACCAACTCCCGGAGTCTACCCAAACTCATGTCCACTGAGTCAGTGATGCCATCCAACCATCTCATCCTCTGTCATCCCCTCTCCTCCTGCCCTCAATCTTTCCCAGCATCAGGGTCTTTTCAAATGAGTCAGTTCTTTGCATCAGGTGACCAAAGTATTGGAGTTTCAGCTACAGCATCAGTCCTTCCAGTGAATATTCAGGATTGATTTCCTTTAGGATGGATCTCCTTGTAATCCAAGGGACTCTCAAGAGCCAATACCAGAGTCCAAAAGCATCAATTCTTTGGCCAAGCAGTGGGGTGTGTCATAGAGCTGTAACATACTGCCTCCAAGTCTCACTTCTTGTCAAAAAGGTCTTTCAAGTTCATGATAACCTCTTCTTCCCCCACAGTTTTCAGTCAGATAAAGAGTCGGTGCGTTTCTTTTCCTGCGCCCCCTGCATTGGAAGCACAGTGTCACCCACTGGCCCGCCAGGGAAGTCCAATAGCCGGTGCATTTCTGACCGCCGTCCAATACATTTCACAGATGGAAAGCTCTGTTCCTTGCGGTGATGCTCAGAAAGCCACATCCGATGGCACAGTAGGAGTCACCTCGGTGTTGTCCCCCCTGGAGACATTGATCAGAACATGTTCTGGTGGGCTGGCCGCACAGACTCTTGTCATTTCTCACCAATTAGCCAGAGATGCTGTGCGCGAGCTGAGTCTGGGTTGTGTCTGATGACATGGGACCAGACATGGCAAAAGATGCGTGTGATCTGCCTTCGCAAGTAGAGCAGCTACTTCCCGCCAGTGATGGGGGCATGGGGCCCCTGAACCCAGCTTTAAAGCCCTTCCACAGCATTGCTGCAAACACCCCCACGCACAGTGAAGGTGAAGGAGAACAGACCACAGGACGTTGACAACCATCGAAGCTGAGCCAGGACTTCATGGAAATCTGGTGTTTTCTCAGTGTTTGTCTGCACGTGAAATTTCCTTTAGGACAGCATCTTTTAAAGGGGCAGGTGTCAAGTTCCCCGCCTTGATGAGGAAGGACACAGACACCCCGAGAGACCGGAAGCCAGTGGTTTTCTGCTGACATGAGAATGTGGGGTGAGTGTTACCCTCCCACCGTGGGGCACGGTGACTTACTTTTGCCCAAATAGGTCAGTTGTTTGAAATAAGCATTCACGTTCATAGTCTGCTGTGGCCAGATAATAGACAAACGAGCCGTACACGGACCTCAGACCTGGTGATTTTTCAACTTGTGCTCTGTGAGAAGATGCTTCAGAAGGAAACACACAAGTCCTTGTCCCTGTGGAGTCTCTGCTGGTGGCGGGAGGAAGGCAGACAAAGCAGACATGCACGTGCACAGCGGTGTGGAGAAAACAAACTAGGAGGGGGCGTGGGTTCTCCGAGGAAAAGGCTGTTCCCAGCACAGGACGGCCTGGGAAGACCTCAGTCAGCGAGCAGCAGTGGCCTGTGCTCCAGAGCAGAGAGAGGAGTCAGAGAGCCGTGAGCAGCGTCCCTGGCCAGGGCGCAGCAGGTGCAAAGGCCCTGAGGTGCGTCGGTGTTAACATCCAGGAGATCAGCGTGGCTGGAGCGGAGCGAGAGGCGGAGTGGTAGGAGGTGAGTCAGAGAACTAAAGGGGCGGCAGGGCGGGTCCTGTGAGCAGCTCTGGGATCTGCAGCTTTAGTCTGAGCAGGATGGGAACCACTGTCAGCTTTGAGCAGTAAGACGACGTGACTCGGTTATCACCTGCAAAGGCACCTCGGCAGGTGGGCAAGGGAAGAAGCAGAGAGACCCGCTAAGTCCCCTGCATGGATCCAAGTCCAAGGCAAAGGGGGCCTGGAGCAGGTGGCTGAGCTGGGAGATGAGACGGAAGGCGAGATCTCGGAGGAGAGGGAGGAGGGTTTTCTGCCACATTGGATGTGCGATCTGGGAGAACGAGGCATCCCGGAGGACTCGAGGGAACAGCGGCATCGGTGCTGGTGGTGATGGGCTGGTGGGTGAGTGGGGCTCAGGGCTGCCCCGTGTCCAAGCTGAACAGCTCAATTTTATGGGCTTATTGTTTGGAGAAAAAGGCTTATTGCAAAAGAAAATTTGTATGTTAAAGTCCACTGGTGTTATAATTAACTCTGTTCCTGCAGAGAGACTGTCACCCAGAGGGCAGTTCAGACTGTCACACCAGAGAGCAAGACCTCCTGGCCACTGTCCCTCCTGGAAACAGCAGCCTGCACTACTAGGCACCCGGGCGAGGACCCAGCACAGTCCTACCGGGAGGGTGGGTGGGCAGTGCTCGCCTCCAAGTGTAGCAGGCAGTGAATCTGGCCTCCCTTGAGCTCACGAGTGAACTCCAAGCTGACACTGCAGTGGTGGAGCCTCTGGGAAGCTCAAAGTACCCTTACCTTGTTCCTAGAGTCCCCTCGTGACTCAGCTGGTAAAGAATCCGCCTGCAATGCAGGAGACCTGGGTTCGATCCCTGGGTTGGGAAGATCCCCTGGAGAAGGGAAAGGTTACCCATTCCAGTATTCTGGCCTGGAGAATTCCATGGACAGAGGAGCCTGGCAGGCTACCGTCCATGTGGTCACAAAGAGTCAGACACGACTGAGCGACTGTCCTTTTAAGGCCAAGCTCGGCTGTGTGCCCTCAAGTCCCATGTTGATTATTATCTTTATCTTGTGCAAAACAGAAAGTGTCCCCAGGGCCTTCCTAGGAGGTCGAGCAGCGAAGACTCAGTGCTTCCACTGCAGGGTCACAGATTCAATCCCCGCTTAAGGAACTAGGATCCAGCGTGCTGCTGGGCACAGCCAAAAATTAAGAGTCCCTATGTGTGTTAGGGGTCTCCCCCTCATCACTGAGCCCCCATGTGTGTTAGGGGTTTCCCCTCATCAGTGAGTCCCCATGTGTGTTAGGGGTCTCCCCTCATCAGTGAGTCCCCATGTGTATTAGGGGTCTCCCCCTCATCAGTGAGTCCCCATGTGTGTTAGGGGTCTCCCCTCATCAGTGAGTCCCCATGTGTGTTAGGGGTCTCCCCCTCATCAGTGAGCCCCCATGTGTGTTAGGGGTCTCCCCTCATCAGTGAGTCCCATGTGTGTTAGGGGTCTCCCCTCATCAGTGAGTCCCCATGTGTGTTAGGGGTTTCCCCTCATCAGTGAGTCCCCATGTGTGTTAGGGGTCTCCCCTCATCAGTGAGTCCCATGTGTGTTAGGGGTCTCCCCCTCATCAGTGAGTCCCCATGTGTGTTAGGGGTCTCCCCTCATCAGTGAGTCCCCATGTGTGTTAGGGGTCTCCCCTCATCAGTGAGTCCCCATGTGTGTTAGGGGTCTCCCCTCATCAGTGAGCCCCCATGTGTGTTAGGGGTCTCCCCCTCATCAGTGAGCCCTGTGGTCCGAGTTACGATAAGATCCCCGGACCTGACAGACGTTTACACACGCTTGGCCCACAGTTCACGGTCTCCGGAGACTGTGCCGCAACCTCCAGCGTGTTTGATGAGCTTGAGGAACCTGTGCCTGGTTAATGCCTGTGTTGACTCTCTCATCCATAGAGACGATCTTATTTTTTCCTTTATCATGAGAACAATCAGGGACCGCTTGTGAGTTTCCGTGTAGAAGCAAAAATTGCGGAAACAACTGCTGTCTGCTAACAAACGATTAGTGTGGGTGGACGTGGGGCACTGGGTGAAGAGGTCACGGGGTGGGGGGGTGAATGGGTGACCTCAGAGCAAAGACGGGGAGCCATTGGCCTCCATGCACCTCACTGTCACCCCCTGGTTCCTTCTCCTCTGGCCCCACCCACCCCCTCCTTCCCCACTCCTCCTGCAGGAGCCTCCTCAAGACATCCTGAGCAGGGGGACCCCCCAAGCCGTCCTGAGCAGAGTGACTCGGTGTATTTCCAGGGAGGGAAACTGCATGTCAGGCAGGCCTCCCAAGCCCCGGGTATCCTGGTCTCATCTTCTCCAAAACTCTACGAATGAAAACAGGCTACTTTGCCCTTTCTTTGGTTTTCAAGTAAACATTTGCTTAGGTACTAATCAGATTAACTGTCACCCCACTTCCTGAAGCTGCCACCGTCGCTTCAAGGAGATGCTGCCATGATTTCCCAAGCCCAGCACGGTGGCTCTGGCCAGGTTAAAACTGGGTCTCTCATTGTATCCATGAAGAGTCAGAAATACCGAAAGGAGCCAGGGTCCCACGGGGTCCCCATCTGCACGCCCTGATAGCAGAACCCTGGCCAGGGAGGGACGCCTCTGGGATTTTTCTGGGTCGGTTGACCTCCTGGGAAAGGAAGTAAAGGCACCCGTGGAACCTCATGAGCTTGACACTGAAGCTCTCAGAGAAAGACCAAGGCGAACACCCCAGGTCCGCCGGGGCCACGCAGGGTCAGGGCCTTCTGGGGGTGGACTGTCCGGGGTAGACACCACACACTGGCCGATGACAGCTCCTGGTCACTCCATGTCTGGTTCACAAAGAGTTTTCTAATTACTTACCAAGGTTTTGAAATGGGGGAGACAGGGTTCTATCACATGAAAAATCCAGATTTGCGGCTTCTCTTAAAACCTGAGAAGACTGGGTCCCACGGAGCCCGCCTCTCCCAGGGCAGCAGTGGGCTGCCTGCGTCTGCTCCCCCGACCCGGGCCCTTCAGTTCCTTGCTTTCCCCGGTGTCCCCAGCCATGTTCCTGGCCACGCCCGTCTTTTCCACCCCTTGTCTGGTATTTGAGTGTGGCCCTGAGGGAGAGTCGGCTGGCTGTGTCACCTCCTGTTCTCGTCCTAACGGAAGCTGTAGGAAGCCCCCGAGGGTGGGAATAGCCACCTGCAAGCTCGACACAAGGTTAAAGATAAGGATGGCTGGGCCTTCCCCACCGGGGAACCCTCGCACACCCCCTCCTCCTGCAAAACTCCTCATGCAGTGCCTGGGCAGGAGACAGGGCCCACATCAGCTATGTGAGCAGAAAGACTTTCCTAAACTGTCATTTACAGGGGCTTCCCTGATGATGGCTGGGTGGTAAAGAGTCCACTTGCCGATGCAGGAGACATGGGTTCGATCCCTGGTCCGGGAGGATCCCACATGCCGTGGAGGCAACTAAACCCAGGCGCTACTGAGCCTGTGCCCGAGAGCTCAGGAGTCACAAGTACTGAGGCGTGCAAGCCCTAGAGCACATATTCCACGACAAGGGAGGCCCCTGCGATGAGAAGCCTGCACACCGCAACTAGAGAAAAGCCCGTGTGGCAGGGAAGACCCCGCACAGCCAAAAATCAATAAATAAAATTATGAAAGTGAAAAGTGTGAGAGTGAACGTCGCTCAGTCGTGTCTGAATCTTTGCGACCCCATGGTCTATGCAGTCCATGGAATTATCCAGCAAGAATACTGGAGTGGGTAGCCTTTACCTTTTCCAGGGGATCTTCCCAACCCAGGGATCGAACCCAGGTCTAACCGCATTGAGGGGAGTTTCTTTACCGGCTGAGCTACAAGAATCCTAGAGTGAAGCCCAATCCCGAAGCCCAAGAATCCTGGAGTGGGTGGCCTAGCCCTTCTCCAGCAGATCTTCCCAACCCAGGGATCAAACAGGGGTCTCCCATGCTACGGGCGGATTCTTTACCAGCTGAGCTCTCAGGGAAGCTGTCTTTACATATAAAGTTGTAAACTAGGAACTGAAAGACAAAAGGAAGCTACAAAACCACCTTTAAGGACGCATGACACTTTTCACAGGAACTGCAGGAGATGTACCCTGAGACTGGGGAGCAAAGAGAAGAGATGAGGCTAGTGTTACTAAGTCTGTGAGCCTGGAAGAGGCCCCCAAGACCCCAGAATCCAGGTCTCTGAGGTGCCGGAGTCTCTAAAGGGGGCTCAGTGATGCCGGCGGGGCTGACGGTCACGGGATCACAAGCTGTGATGGGAAAAACAACTCTTGAGAAAAACAGTCTTTAAGGAAAACAACTCTGTTTTTCTGAGCTGCCACTTAGGCATTTTACCGTCTGATAACCCTGCTCACGCCCAGAGCCTGGAGATAAGAGTTTAAGATGCCTGCCACGGGTTCCTGCTTTATTCTTCCAGGGGCGCCTTGTAAAAATGACCACTTGAAAAAAAAAAGACCACTTAAGAGTTAAGCCTGTGAAAAGCCAGCCCCAACCATCCAATATGCAGTGGCAGTTTGCTCCCCAGTGACCTGGGATGGGGGCTGGCCTTCCTCTCGGCTCTGTGGGCCCCCTCACTTCTGGGATCTGTCAGTAATAATACATCTTGTGATTCCACTTCCTTTGTGTGAGTCTATTGAAACTGCACCTTCAATCAAAATGACCCCGGGGGGTTTTCACTTCCCCTAAGTGGAGCTTGGTTATGGAGGGAGCTCCCTGCCACCCCCGTGGGGGTGGGGGGCCTTGTGCCCTCCCCGCCCCCCCACTCAGCGGGTCATAATCTGCAGATTCCTGATTCAATACACCAGCTCTGGCTTCTCAGCACAGAAGCAGGCACAGCCCATAGGAAGCAAGCAGGAAGGAGCTGCCCTCCTTCAACCTTCCCTGTGGCGCCCCCAGCTGGCAGAACCTGGGAGGAGCCACTGCAAATCAGACCTTTGCGGCGTTCAAGTCGCTCAGTCGTGTCTGACTCTTTGTGACCCGGTGGACTATACAGTCCATGGAATTCTCCAGGCCAGAATACTGGAGAGGGTAGCCCTTCCCTTCTCCAGAGGATCTTCGCAACCCAGGTCTCCTACATTGCAGGCGGATTCTTTACTAGCTGGGCCACAGAAGACCTGGTTTGCAGAGCCTGCGCAGGTGTAGGGGCTGGTTGGTGAGAGTAACCAGGTAAGTTGGTTGATGTCTGGTTCAGAGGGCTCCCTCTGACCCCTACTTGTGCTCAGCATTTCCAACTGAGCTGTATCCCTACAATAAGCTTGTAGTACCTCCTCCATGTCAGCCCCTTTCTCCATGCAGAGCATGTAATATCAGCAAGGTAGGTACCGTTCTTGCCCTGGTGGACCTG